GATCTTCCTTTAATCCTATTGCCCTGGGTATCCTTTACTGCACATGACATAAGGTTTTAGTGTATTACATTCAAAATTTTATTAAACTACGTTTTGTCTATGTTATGCTAATTAGAATAGTATAAACTCTTAGCTAATAATCCATATTTTAATAGTATACAAGATTTAAGCTCTTAATTCTACAAGGACCTGAAGATAAAAGGCGGAAGACTTTCGAAACGTCGTCCTTCTACACTGTAGGTTTCTACAACAGGCAGTTGCTGTCCATTTTGAAACTTAGATTCATATATACAATTTATTCTTCTGTGGTATTTCAATGAGAAGAAAATACTTTGAAATCTTCAAAAACATTACAAAGAAAAAAAGAGGGATGCTACTTTTGGCAATAACTAGAGATTGGTGTTATATGGTATCATTCAATAAGGGAGAAAAATTATTTTCCTTTGGCCTTTTATACTCTCCATTTTTTAGATTTTATATTTGTAGCTTTCAATGGTACAGAAAGAATTTGATTAATTAAAACATATGATGAAAGACAATTGTTTAAGAAAGAGTTTATTTTTCAAGAACTGATTGTTTGTTTGAGGTTAAGCACAAAGCTACACAATGGGCTATCTGTGCTCTGCCCACGACGAGTATCGAAACCTGGGTTCTAGTGTTGTAAGTCCGGAGACATATCACTGTTTTTCAAGAACTATTTCAAAACATTAGCATGAGAAGCCATTTTTTGAGCACTTTTCCATGTGAGTATAAACCGTGTTAAGAGAAAACCTCCCACAACTGAATTTAGAACACAAAAAGTAGTAAGTGAAATTTCTCAGTTTGGCATGCTTTACTATTATCATATTAAAACTGATTTAATGTATGATATTTCATTCTCAGCTATTTTTGTAGAAAATAATTGGTTTTAAATCAAACAAAGAATGAGGGAAACATACCTGGTTGTGCTTCATTAAAACTCTCCAAGAGCTTAGGAAGTGTGCTGAGGAAGAACCTCTGAGGATACATAATCTTGACATTGGCATGACTAGACTGACTAAGCACCTAGTAAAACAATAACTATAGTTCAGAGAGATCCTTTTTCACATGCTAATATCTTTATATTATCTCATATGGCATGATGTATAACAGGGCTGGCAAACCTTTTTGAGAGCATGTGCCCAAATTGTAGATAATTTTTGGAAAATTCTTTTCGTGCCCATGGAAATTTTGAGCAGCAAAATTACTGTTATTATTATTAATTTTATGTATTATAATATTTTACATATAATTAATTAATTATAGACATATACAATCTCTATGCCTTCAGATATATATATATATATATATATATATATATATAT